CAACTCTTTGCCTGCAGCATATGATCACCCACTATGGCACTCAGTCAACTATTAATTTATCCAGGTGTATATATATACACCAGGGTAAAGTAATGGTATATATATATATATATATATAAACACCATGGTGGAGTAAAATGATAGCTGGCTGAGTGCCATAATGTGTGATTATAGGCTGCAAGTATATTTATTTACTTAAACAACGTCACTAAAACCCAATACATTATAAAACTATAAGCCAACCAATGCTGTATGTTATTGGGTTATATAACAGCTCCAATACTAATAAATTATGAAACAATTTGATACTAGAGAGAGACATTAGGTGCCATCTCATAATAAATTTAATAATTATAATTTTTTAATTAAATAATTTAAAACTAGTGGAAGAAAAAAATTGGCCCAGAGCAGGCCTTGAATCCTTAAGAGATGGGCATTGTGTGCCAATTTGTTAAGAAATTGGCACACAATGTCCATCTCTAGTGTCAAATTATTTAATTACTAATAGCAATAGTAGCCTGATTTAATCTGGCAATTGTTTGGCTTTATTATGCCATCATACATCACACAATAGTGTCTGTTACATTTTGACCACATTTATTTCATTAAGCTATCAGATTGCCTAAAGATTTATATTTGATATTAAATCATATCTTTCTTAGTGTAACATTCAATTGGCATAATATGACATGAAAATACACATTGTACTTCATTCAAACTATTCATTAATTCACCTTTGTGCTATTGTTTAAAAAAACATCACATCTACAGTTTACTAATAACAAATGTTATGTTGATTTCATAGAAACTATATCAAGATTTAAAACTGATGATAAATTTTTATATTTTCACACACAAAATAAATCAAAGAATGATTAAAGATATGACTCACATTTAAAATATATTTTCTAAAAAACCAAATTCATGAAGTGTCATCTGATCTAAAAGTTCTAAAGTAATGAATGTTACAGGAATCTATTCTGATGATATCTTTCAAAGTTTTTAAATTTGATACTGTATTGCTTATTTAAAATACATTTATTCTATTAATAATTAGAACTTTCGATCAGTTATGCATTTACATATATTTATTTTTAAATATATTTAACAGTTTATATTAAAATTAAGAGAAAAATATAGAGAATTTAGAATTCTAATATAAATGGTTAGTTTAAAATGAATATACTATTCATCTGATCATAAAATTTTTGAAATTTGAATATGGCTTCATTTTTACCAATTTAAAAAAAATTAAAATGTAATTTATAATACTACTTTAGACCTTTATACATACCATACCATATATACATACATAAACATTCCAAAGCTTGATATTCATAACAAAGCCAAATCCAAATGATTGCTGGATTAAGTCAGGCTATGTTACCACTACTATTAATAATTAAATAATTTGGTACCGGACATAGGTATTATGCACCATCTATTATTAAATTTAACAATTAAATTAATATTAAATAATTTGGAAAATTCTGGAAGAAAAAAGTTAGCCTGGAGTTGTACTCAAACCAGCAACTGCCACTTACCATGTGAATGTATTACTAGTTAAGCTATCAGAACCTACATCTGATCCCTCGCTTCCACACACATTTAATCTAGGTATAACCATCCTCAGTTAATTATGGTGCTGACTGGGGACAACTCTTTGCCTGCAGCATATGATCACCCACTATGGCACTCAGTCAACTATTAATTTATCCAGGTGTATATATATACACCAGGGTAAAGTAATGGTATATATATATATATATATATAAACACCATGGTGGAGTAAAATGATAGCTGGCTGAGTGCCATAATGTGTGATTATAGGCTGCAAGTATATTTATTTACTTAAACAACGTCACTAAAACCCAATACATTATAAAACTATAAGCCAACCAATGCTGTATGTTATTGGGTTATATAACAGCTCCAATACTAATAAATTATGAAACAATTTGATACTAGAGAGAGACATTAGGTGCCATCTCATAATAAATTTAATAATTATAATTTTTTAATTAAATAATTTAAAACTAGTGGAAGAAAAAAATTGGCCCAGAGCAGGCCTTGAATCCTTAAGAGATGGGCATTGTGTGCCAATTTGTTAAGAAATTGGCACACAATGTCCATCTCTAGTGTCAAATTATTTAATTACTAATAGCAATAGTAGCCTGATTTAATCTGGCAATTGTTTGGCTTTATTATGCCATCATACATCACACAATAGTGTCTGTTACATTTTGACCACATTTATTTCATTAAGCTATCAGATTGCCTAAAGATTTATATTTGATATTAAATCATATCTTTCTTAGTGTAACATTCAATTGGCATAATATGACATGAAAATACACATTGTACTTCATTCAAACTATTCATTAATTCACCTTTGTGCTATTGTTTAAAAAAACATCACATCTACAGTTTACTAATAACAAATGTTATGTTGATTTCATAGAAACTATATCAAGATTTAAAACTGATGATAAATTTTTATATTTTCACACACAAAATAAATCAAAGAATGATTAAAGATATGACTCACATTTAAAATATATTTTCTAAAAAACCAAATTCATGAAGTGTCATCTGATCTAAAAGTTCTAAAGTAATGAATGTTACAGGAATCTATTCTGATGATATCTTTCAAAGTTTTTAAATTTGATACTGTATTGCTTATTTAAAATACATTTATTCTATTAATAATTAGAACTTTCGATCAGTTATGCATTTACATATATTTATTTTTAAATATATGTAAATGAATATATTTTGAAAAAAAAAATACATTAACTATATGTCAATTTAAAAACTTCCTTCTTCATTTGTAAAATAACAATAATAGAACAGTTTTTTAATCTAGTACCTATGAGACAGTGTGTGCCACATTATCAAAAATACTAGATTGAATTCCTGTAGTGTTCAGACTGTTTGTTGAAATTTTGCAAATTTCAACAAACAGTCTGAACACTACAGAAATTGCTGTACATTTTGAACAAATGGAAGTATTTGATCCAACACAAACAAGTTACTGTAATAAAATGAATCAATTTTTTTTAATCATATTGCTCTTGGTGGTAAGGTTGACTTCTGAAGATAAAGGCTGAACCTCAATTTCCACCTAGACTTTTTAGTACACTACACATCCAAATAAATTCCAATTCACAGAATACCAACATGCTAGATTATTATTGGACAATTAATTCCAGATCATTTGCTATTTTTCACAGGGTGACAGATTATTGGACATTCTGGATTATTGTGTGTCAGATTAACAAACTTCTTATGGAATAAAACAAAAACAAACAAGAACTCAGAGAAAAAAGATGATCTTAAATTTTATTTTAGAAATTGTTAAAGCTAAATAAGTAATGGATGTGTTAATAGCACACTATTCAACAAACCAATTGAGTAGATATCTACAATTGTAAAAGTTACTAATTTTATCATATGCCACAAAATCAAGCTAAAACTGGTTATTTTTACCAAGATTGGTAACTTGACAACTAATTCTTAGTAAATTTCCAAGATTGGGGGAAAAGGTGATCAGCATAAATGGGCATAAAAGACAAGTAGTGTAAACTTTTGTAATAAAATATACAATTTTAAGTATATAATCTTAATCAGTAAAATTTATCAATTTTTCCCTATTGAATAATGTCCTCTGATCAGATTAATAAGAAACACAAGGACCAATAAGTTTAATTTCATTAGCACCTTTAATAATAATTTTGTCTTATATTTTAAAACCTGATTAAATGAAATGAAATCTGAATTAGTTTCAATATTCAAACTTGATTCAAACTAATTATTCTGTCTGAATGCTATTATGATTTATTTAGGTCGTCTTCCTTTCACACAATTAACTTTTAACTGATCTACTATAATGAAGAGAAGGAAATGCATTAAAGACTTTTATGTTTGACAGATCACAAATACAACTAAGTAATTAATATACAAATATTAATATAACATATATTGATGAAATATAGTAAAAAATAATTTATTTTAAAATTAGAAGTGGTAGATTATAATACATCACTTTGGCATAATATACTTGAAAAGCAAAGCAAATTTTTTTGCTAAGTTATTATAGAAAGAAATTAAAATATTCAGATTAAATTATTTCCTATTGCCAATATCATTTTAAAATACATAAGCATGAGTTTATACAAATAAATTATTGCTGTAAATGGATCAAAATTATTAATTGTCGGTAAAATTTAAAAATTTAATTTCATACACCTTCCATGTATGAATTCCAAAAATTCTGTTGTTATATAGCAATTACTGTAATGGTAGATAAATGTCAGTTTTTAATGAAATTTGAAGTTTTCATTGTATTCTGCTCATTCTGTTCTACATCTCTCAAGTGTCATTTGAAAGTATGACATTAAAGATATAACTGGTATGCAGTTCAGAAAGTGCCATGTCAAACATTAGTCTAAAATGGTGCTTTTCTAGTACACTTCATTTGTAGATATATTTATAAAATAAGTAAAACAAAACAAACAAAAAAATACTGGATAGGAAATCATCTAGATTCATGTGTTAAAAACACAAATGGCAATCTAATAAATTTTTTTTATTGTATCACTTAATTTCTGTTTTAGTTATCAATATAAAAAAAATTTATATAATAAAATAATAATAGATGTTAAAATAAACCCTATAGCTCCTGTGTCCTCAATGACACTGTGTGATTATAGGCTGCAAGTATATTTATTTACTTAAACAACGTCACTAAAACCCAATACATTATAAAACTATAAGCCAACCAATGCTGTATGTCATCAAGCTAGATAACGGCTATAATACTAATAAATTATGAAATAATTTNTCATTAATAAAAATAATTAAATTTTATCTTTTATATTAAATTCATGAAAATTGTAATAAAATTATTATTCAGAATTCTTTCAACTTTAATCACACAATTTTCATTTTTTTTTAATAAGAGAAAGGTGTTAAAATATTGATTACACAAGAATACTTACCCATGGCCAGTAGGTGAAATGAAATATAGGCAAGCATGAATACGAGTATCATGATAGGAATCAAGGCTTCTCTTTATTTTTAGTTCTTCTTGAAGATATGCTTCAAATTGTGTGTCAATGTAGTCCACAATTGGTTTAAAACTGCAAAAATTTAGATTTATACAATTATTCATGTGTGGAAGAAAATTTTAAATATCTATCTAATTCTTAACTAATTGAATTTTTATACCTGAAATCAATAATTTTAAAGATAACTACCAAAATGGATTAAATGTAACAAAAACTTAGTAGTGAGATAATTGTATTAGAGAAAAGTTTAATTTCTTCAGTTCTGAAATTTTTCTTATTTAATACATTTAAATAGTCACTTATTCATTTACAGTTCCTGAAAAAGAAAACTATATAGTTTCTTTTTTCAGGTGGCTGCAAAACTGATTTTAAACTTTCACGACTTTCAGGTTTTCTAGATTATGAAACAAAAATTCCAGATGTGCTCTAAAATTTCAAAATTTACCAAAATCATGATTAGCAAGATAAATGCTTATAAAATTATGTATGTATGTAATAATAAAAATGCTTATAAAATAAATTATACTCAGTCCTCAATTTACAATGATCCTGTACTAATAACCAAAAAACTCATAAAAATATATTTTTGAATCAAAGCAATCATTTGTTCTTGCTAATTAATACATGGTACAAAACTGCATGCAATCATTCTTCTTCCTCAGAGAATGTAATTTATTAGTCTCTATTGCAATTTGATTGAAAATAGAAAAAAATACTTTTTTTTTAATGTTCTCTTATTATGGATGTAGCCAGTTGAAAGCATGTGGACCTTAGTAAATCCGATTGATTCTAATGCAATTTGAAAAAATTGTAGATCTATAAATTCCTGTCACCTGTCCCTCTGTCTTTCCTTAATCTCAAGAACAAAGTTAGACAGATGAAAAACAAAATCAGATATGGAAACCTTAGGGGCATGAGGCCCTGATTAACTATATAAGAACTTCCAATGCAAACCAGAATTCATGTTATTTCAAATCAAAAATTTTCTCCTGAAAGGTGTTAGACAAATGACCAGCACAACTATTGTTAAATGAAAAGTATGATATACAGGAGCAAGTCACTACTATTTTGAGGTAGAGAGAATATACTTTAAATAAATAAATTAAAAATATGATCAAAAATTGCAGCCCAGCATTGTGACAATATCACAATAAATAATTACTCATTAAAGATTTACTAAGGTCCACATGCTTTCAACTGGCTACGTCCATAATAAGAGAATATTAAAAAAAAATAGTTTTTTTTTCATTTATCATAAACAGATTGCTAATTATACTTTTTTGCCTGTTTGCAATATCCCATCAAATATCAAGAACTGAATTTTGCAAGTATATTTCACACAGCATGTGGTCACAAATGCACTTCCCTCCCTCCTGTAGCTTTTTCCATTAACTCAGAAACACTCCTCCAAGAAAAAGTAGAGAGCTTAAGATGCAAAGTCTCCAAAATAACATCCCTATATTGTTCTCATATGACACTATTGCAATAATTTGGTTAAAGTAAAGTAACCAATTAAAATACACATACACATACTGTTCATAAGTTTTACATAATACTATATCAAGCATGGTCAACAAGTTGATTGCTGCACTGTTTTTGGTTGATTACAGATAATATGGTCTGTTGAAAGTGAAAATTTGTAAATTACATGCAAATATAAATTCCATACTTGCCACCTTAAAATCATTTAACTAATGATATGTGTTGTTAGCACTGTACTGTATGAGATAACATTTAAAATATGTTTGTTTCTGACTATGACACAATGAAAATACCATGTATAGTTACTGAGAAACAAAACAATAAAAAACAAATAATTTCAGTAGCTTGCAAAATGAATATGCCAAAGAGAAGCAAAACTTATGCTTTGTACAATAAACAGGAATAAAATTCTGCTGTGTTATGTAGCTAATAAATGCTATTTATGCCTTAGTGAAACATTTCTCAACCTTTTTAAGCCCAAGGACCAATAAAATGTCTGAAAAAAATTCCATAGACCACTAAATTAATATTTTTTAAACTTATAAGGATATTACCAACATTTGGGACATACTGTGCCATTTATAATGTAATAAATCTAAAAGCATATTTTGAACATATATGGAAACATAATTAATTAAATTGGAAATAAACTATTAAAAGTGAATCATCATTGAACAAATGTTTAATCTTTATTAATTTAAGCCTGCTGACCACCTGTCCAATCATTGCAGACCACAGATTGAGAAATGCTATATTAGTATCTTTACCAAAAAAAGAGAGAACCTAAAATGTTAATTACTGTGCAGTAAATAAAAGTACAGGTGACTATGTTTTTCAGCATAATTTTATAAGAGTAAGTTAATAAATTTTATATAAAGAATAGAAATGTGATAGTAGGTCATTAATACATTTTATTTTGAAAGATAATCACATCCCACTATAAGTTGACAGGCTTGGTCTATTTAATACTATTCTAACAAGTCTGCTAAAATAAATCTTATGACTAAGATTTATGCCTATAATAGCCTTGACTGCTGTCAAGCAATTGAGATAAATTTACTAGAGAAATATACAAGTTAAACCACAAAGTTTCATTATGTTTTAGAAAAACAGATTTTCCAGTTTTTATGATAAATTTCCCACCTTTCCCTGACTTTTCAAGCCTTATCAATTTCCTCAACTTTTCTAGATTTTCCTGACACGTTGCTTTTTGTTTTTCTTTTCTTTTTAAAATATATTTCAATTTAATTGTCAACTATAATATAGAAAAATACTCTAAATATTCAATTCTTCATCTAGCTTTTCAGAGTTGTTACTGATTTATAGCTTCCATTTTTTTTAGTATGATGGTAACCAAATACAAACAACGAATTTTTGCATAACAACATTTATAGAATTCATTATATAAAACTGAAACTTGACAAGACAAAGATGAGTAAGCAAACATCATGAAAACATTCCAGAAAAACCTTATATGTGTGTGGCTAAGTAATATCTTGCTGGAAAATGATCTGTTTGCATCCCTTCCATAAAAAGCAATGAGGGTGCATAATTTCCTGGAATATACCTTTGCACCACTACTAACCACTACTTACTTTGTTTATGTTATACAGAATGGCTCCCCAAATCAGCACACCAGCAGTGCAGGCAGTGTACCACTCAACAATAAAGGCAAGACCGAAGCACTCACTAATATCTTCCTCACCCTAATATGAATCAGCATTTATAGCTAAAGACAATATGCTACTAATTCACAATGGTACTATGACAGAAGCATGGACTGCTTCTGTCCATGCTTCTGTCATAGTACCATGAAGCATGGACTGCTTCTGTCATAGTACCATTGCAAATATAATCAATGATGTGGGGATGCTAATGGCAAGATGCATAGTGGTTGTTGTGCATGCAAACTTACCTCTGTTAGTTATATGCCAATAGTATGGAAAGAGGGTTCTGTAGCAAAGTTTCTACCTGTCTCTGAATAGTGGACTGAGTCACTGTAGTTGTTTGTGCTTGTGTCACAATTTGATGATCACATCTTTTGATGGTCTGTCTGGGTGCCCAGAGCCTACCTGATATATATATCAATATATATATGTGAATGCTCTGATGTTATCTCCAGACATCAACTCACAATGGCTCAGATAACAGAAAATTCAGCAAATGTCATCTTGCTTTCCTCAACCTAATGATGCAGTCTTTCTCAACTCCATTAGTTGTGCATAATGTTACATAGACACATTTGATGTTCAAAGACTTCCATACAGCAAGTGCATGTAAAAATTCTGAATATAGTAAGCATCTATGAACCTTCTTATAGGATACTGGAATAACAATTTTAAAGCACTCTAGTAGTATTACCAGGCATGCAATCAGACTACAACTGTAATCATTTACATATCTATCTAAGACACAGCTGTAAATTGGGTTTTGCAGTAATTGGACAATTCTGTTTGAATGTGCAACTTTTGGATGTATTTCCTGGTTTAGAAAACACTAATTTATATTCATTTACAATATAAGTTATTTAATTTTTGACATTTGAATTTTATGAATTCAATGAACCAAAACAATATTTATGTTGTTACAAATTACTCAATATTAATAACAAAAATAAAGTGATCTGTAATCTTTGCAAGTTCTCAAACATATTTTTTACAAAAAATTTTTACAAAAATTTTAATACTTAATCATTTCAACCATAAAATAAACTCTGTTAAAATTTAATGAGTGGAAACCGTGTAAGTAAACTATTCATAAAATAATTTTTCAGAAGACTTATAATAAAGTAAAGAAATATCTTGCAATTAATACTAAAATAGCACTCGTCAATCTAAATTTTCCACTAGTAATGTAACTATTCTGTATTAAGGACTAAATATGCATATAAATTTAATTAATAACTGAAAACATTGTAATTCAAATTTTAATTATATTGCTAAATGAATACATACCTATCTTCTTTGTTGATTTGATCTCCATATCCAACAGTGTCAATCACAGTTAATTTCAGGCTAACATTAGACTCTTGGAGATCTAAATAATTTACAATAAAATATTTTAATTTAATCATGTTTTTTTAGCAAAATAAAATTTAATCTTTCCTCAAACTATCTTATAAATCAAAAATTATTCTTGTTACTATTAATTTGATAATCCTATTTCTTATTACTTCTTTTGGTATATATTACAGAATGATTAATACCAAAATAATATAAATTTATATTATCATTTTGCATATCTTTCCTTATTGTTAGTATTGAAAATCATAGAAATTTTTTTATAGTGTCTCTCAATCTCTGGTTTACAAAATGTTTTAGTAAAGGTATGAGTTCTCATAAGAAAAAAAAATCATTTATTATATTATGAAATTTAAAAAAATGCTTCTCATAATACTTACCATCATTGAAGTTTAAATTAAAAAATGTTTAAAAACTTTAATATAAATGAACTTACCAGACATTGTTTTAAATACATAAAATAATAATAATTATTGAATTATTTTCTTGAAAAAAAATAAAAGTTTGAGAAACAATGAAATAATGCATGCAATTGGAGTATTATAAACTCATATGCATGTAGTTTTTCTGTTTTTTAAATATTCATATTTAAATTTGTTTTTCTCTTTTTGAAATTAAACAAAGAAAAACATCATTCTTTAAATCAGAAGCATCAATGATGAGAATATTAAAACTAATTAACCATTATGGTATATAAAAATTACTGAAATGCTGAGTTTGTGTGCAAATGTGTCTTATTTAGAGTTCAATTTGGAAAAGCATGCATAAATAAGAATATATGTAAGAAAGTATATTAAAATTTCAAAGATTCCTGATTAAACATGTAATAGCCAACCTAACAATTTTTCAATTTATACCAAAGTATAAAGAATTAACTTTATTTATGTCAATAAATTATGTAAAATTTGTAACAGACCTATAAAAATGTAACTGTGTAAAAATTTTTTTTTTAAAGAAGTCAACTGAAAGTTACTTGTATATTATTTAAATTTTTACTTTAAAGTACCATTTACTGATTTTTTTCATTACAAGAGAGTAGCTTCATATATATATATTTTACATCTTAAACAAATTTATATAGTGAGTTAATTTCAACATGTGTAATAAGATTTATTTACTGTTCCTTTGTATTAAGAGATCATATTTTAAAATAATTCAAAATTAGACTCAATAAATCGTGATCACACTTTACTTTTTGACAATTAATGCAGATGCTTACTGTTTTTACTGACAGCTTCAGATGATTTTTAAAACTTAATGGCTAATTTTTAAAAAATTTATTTTAATTATTTCATTAAAGATTTGCTCCATTTGGAAGTATTTTGTAAAGTAATAAGTTTTTATGATTATTAAAGCCAAATAATTGCCAAATTATATCTGACTATATTACTACTACTATTAATTAAATGCAAATAGTAATATTAATATAGTCAGATATAGTTTGGCAATCATTTGGCTTTAATAATCATAAAAACTTATTACTTTACAAAATACTTCCAAATGGAGCAAATCTTTAATGAAATAATTAAAACAAATATTTGTTTTCTTTATTTAAACTAATCAAAACAACACAACTGTGTAAAGGGAAACAATCTTTCAAAATTTTACTGGTACTGAGAATATTGCTATAAGAATTAAGAAGCTGTTTGTTTGTTTGTAAAATATATTTACATGGAATATAGCTTATTCATCAAAAAGTGCATTTATTACAGATAAGATATCCTAATAAATATAATAAATATTTTACCATATGTCTTAGTTTTCAATTTTACTCCAGGCAAATTATGAGGACATTCTGGTGTCTCAAATGAAGTGTTAAAGAGTGTATCCATCAGTGTAGATTTACCAAGACCAGTTTCTCCTATAATAAATTAATTTGTAAATTTATTAATTAATAAAATAAAGATACAAGATTATCAAACTACAAATTTTTAAAAATCATAATTAAAGTAATAAAAAGTAAGTTTTAGTTACCAATGCATAATATATTATATGTGAAGCCTTGATGAACACATTTGTTAACAAGCTGATCTGGAAGACTATCGAATCCTACATGACCTTGCAATTTTAAAACTCAAGAGAGACATTAGGTGCCATCTCATAATAAATTTAATTATAATTTTTAATTAAATAATTTAAAACTAGTGGAAGAAAAAAATTGGCCCAGAGCAGGCCTTGAATCCTTAAGAGATGGGCATTGTGTGCCAATTTGTTAAGAAATTGGCACACAATGTCCATCTCTAGTGTCAAATTATTTAATTACTAATAGCAATAGTAGCCTGATTTAATCTGGCAATTGTTTGGCTTTATTATGCCATCATACATCACACAATAGTGTCTGTTACATTTTGACCACATTTATTTCATTAAGCTATCAGATTGCCTAAAGATTTATATTTGATATTAAATCATATCTTTCTTAGTGTAACATTCAATTGGCATAATATGACATGAAAATACACATTGTACTTCATTCAAACTATTCATTAATTCACCTTTGTGCTATTGTTTAAAAAAACATCACATCTACAGTTTACTAATAACAAATGTTATGTTGATTTCATAGAAACTATATCAAGATTTAAAACTGATGATAAATTTTTATATTTTCACACACAAAATAAATCAAAGAATGATTAAAGATATGACTCACATTTAAAATATATTTTCTAAAAAACCAAATTCATGAAGTGTCATCTGATCTAAAAGTTCTAAAGTAATGAATGTTACAGGAATCTATTCTGATGATATCTTTCAAAGTTTTTAAATTTGATACTGTATTGCTTATTTAAAATACATTTATTCTATTAATAATTAGAACTTTCGATCAGTTATGCATTTACATATATTTATTTTTAAATATATGTAAATGAATATATTTTGAAAAAAAAAATACATTAACTATATGTCAATTTAAAAACTTCCTTCTTCATTTGTAAAATAACAATAATAGAACAGTTTTTTAATCTAGTACCTATGAGACAGTGTGTGCCACATTATCAAAAATACTAGATTGAATTCCTGTAGTGTTCAGACTGTTTGTTGAAATTTTGCAAATTTCAACAAACAGTCTGAACACTACAGAAATTGCTGTACATTTTGAACAAATGGAAGTATTTGATCCAACACAAACAAGTTACTGTAATAAAATGAATCAATTTTTTTTAATCATATTGCTCTTGGTGGTAAGGTTGACTTCTGAAGATAAAGGCTGAACCTCAATTTCCACCTAGACTTTTTAGTACACTACACATCCAAATAAATTCCAATTCACAGAATACCAACATGCTAGATTATTATTGGACAATTAATTCCAGATCATTTGCTATTTTTCACAGGGTGACAGATTATTGGACATTCTGGATTATTGTGTGTCAGATTAACAAACTTCTTATGGAATAAAACAAAAACAAACAAGAACTCAGAGAAAAAAGATGATCTTAAATTTTATTTTAGAAATTGTTAAAGCTAAATAAGTAATGGATGTGTTAATAGCACACTATTCAACAAACCAATTGAGTAGATATCTACAATTGTAAAAGTTACTAATTTTATCATATGCCACAAAATCAAGCTAAAACTGGTTATTTTTACCAAGATTGGTAACTTGACAACTAATTCTTAGTAAATTTCCAAGATTGGGGGAAAAGGTGATCAGCATAAATGGGCATAAAAGACAAGTAGTGTAAACTTTTGTAATAAAATATACAATTTTAAGTATATAATCTTAATCAGTAAAATTTATCAATTTTTCCCTATTGAATAATGTCCTCTGATCAGATTAATAAGAAACACAAGGACCAATAAGTTTAATTTCATTAGCACCTTTAATAATAATTTTGTCTTATATTTTAAAACCTGATTAAATGAAATGAAATCTGAATTAGTTTCAATATTCAAACTTGATTCAAACTAATTATTCTGTCTGAATGCTATTATGATTTATTTAGGTCGTCTTCCTTTCACACAATTAACTTTTAACTGATCTACTATAATGAAGAGAAGGAAATGCATTAAAGACTTTTATGTTTGACAGATCACAAATACAACTAAGTAATTAATATACAAATATTAATATAACATATATTGATGAAATATAGTAAAAAATAATTTATTTTAAAATTAGAAGTGGTAGATTATAATACATCACTTTGGCATAATATACTTGAAAAGCAAAGCAAATTTTTTTGCTAAGTTATTATAGAAAGAAATTAAAATATTCAGATTAAATTATTTCCTATTGCCAATATCATTTTAAAATACATAAGCATGAGTTTATACAAATAAATTATTGCTGTAAATGGATCAAAATTATTAATTGTCGGTAAAATTTAAAAATTTAATTTCATACACCTTCCATGTATGAATTCCAAAAATTCTGTTGTTATATAGCAATTACTGTAATGGTAGATAAATGTCAGTTTTTAATGAAATTTGAAGTTTTCATTGTATTCTGCTCATTCTGTTCTACATCTCTCAAGTGTCATTTGAAAGTATGACATTAAAGATATAACTGGTATGCAGTTCAGAAAGTGCCATGTCAAACATTAGTCTAAAATGGTGCTTTTCTAGTACACTTCATTTGTAGATATATTTATAAAATAAGTAAAACAAAACAAACAAAAAAATACTGGATAGGAAATCATCTAGATTCATGTGTTAAAAACACAAATGGCAATCTAATAAATTTTTTTTATTGTATCACTTAATTTCTGTTTTAGTTATCAATATAAAAAAAATTTATATAATAAAATAATAATAGATGTTAAAATAAACCCTATAGCTCCTGTGTCCTCAATGACACAGGAGCTATAGGATTGACTGAAATAAATTTGTTGTAGAGAATGTTACACTAATTCACAAACATTTGCTAACAAAAGCAAAAAGCAAAAAAAAAATTTATTTTTGCATAGAAAATTTGATTCTCATTGCCATTTTCCAAAACAAGAAAGTAAAAATGGCACACAATCTTAAGTGAATAGAAGCAAGCATCATTAAAACAAGATAGCAGCTGATAAATAAGTGGAAAAACCAATTTGTAATTATCAAATATAAACTTTCAAAGTTAATTGTAATTATTATAAGAATATAAATTAAAAAAAGAAAAAACAGTTAATGTTTTAATTGATTCTATACAGTACATTCCTTCATTATCAATAATTTGTTGCCATCTAATTGGCATTTTTTAATTTTGGAATGGGACTCATCCTCTATACTGCTTTGTCCATTTCTGAATCTTTGAAACCTTTCAGCAGTCCTTATAATGATACCATTCTATGATAAACATTATCTTTTCTGCTGCAAAAGTTTTTCACACTCAAAACAAAAATACAGATTTTTTTACATCATTTTCTAAGGAATTATATTTATAATATATCTTTACAATAACTATCAATAAACTGATACTTGATATGTACATTTCAGAACACACTCAAACATGTAGGACTGCATATCTAAAGCAGAGCAACAGCAAAGCCTCTTCTACATAGCTTACAATATTGCATTCAATTTCAAAATTTGATTGATTGATTTTGATAAAATTTTGCCATTTTCCATTTATTGCAACAAGGAATCCAAAAACATTATAAAAAATGGAGGTTCATGACTTTGTTTTTGAGATACAAGATCATAGATAGCATGGGCATGTGAAACAAAGCAATACTGCACGAATCACACAACTTTGTCAGGTGTCCCAAGNGACATACTATCTCTTTTTGAAATCTTATACTTAGGTATTATTATTCTTATTTGAAAATTATTTGAAATTCTTAAAAAAAGTACAATGAGTATGATTTTTTCATCAAACTGCAATTGAGCCCAATTGACCCCTCGAGTTCCATGAATTCCTTTCAAAATTTCATTGATCTCCAAAGAGTCTATATCAATCCCATTGGGAATCTCTGCTGTACTGTACATAGTAATAGGATTTACTGTGGAAAACATACAAATTTATAAAAATTAAATAATTAGCCTGTTATTTTATAGATTAAAAAAATATGTATATTTTAAAATATTTAATCAGATATTTAGTAAATAAAAATTTTTAATAGTGTCTATAAGTTTATAGAATTAATCTCCTCCTCAAAATTTAATGGGCCAATTTTGATGAAACTTTGTCATTTTCCATTAGTTGCAATGGAGTAGTCCAAAAATGTAATGAGGCCCATTTATATTAAATAAGAGTCCAAGACTTTGTTTTCAATATACAGTGAAATTGAAGTGATTGTCACTTCAATTTCACTGTATGTTCCTGGATTGAACAATGTCCATGTTCCTGGATGCAACTGATTGTACTGTATCTAATGGAATTAGGTGAGAAAACAGCATTGCACCTAATGGAAAAACAGATGCAAAATACGAGCAAAACACAAGAACAAAGCAGTCGATGGTAACTGCTTTGTTTTTGGATCCTTTCCACAACTAGACAGTGCAAGGATCACATCTATTGTGGCCAGCAGGGGCAGGGGGTACATAATCAAGGTGCCAAATTCCAAAACTATTACACATAAGTATGAAAAATTATATTATGAAATATAATATGCATTATATTAATAAAGAGTGATTTTATAATTTTTAAATCTGTAACAGACTAATGAAAGGCTTAAGGCTTAAAATTCTTACTGTATATGTAGTGATGTTTTTAAATAGGAAAGTATAGCACATGATCAGACTTCTATCCAAAAACTTAAAAGGAAAAAGTTAGTGTGAATTTTAATAATGAATGTGCCTTAGGCTAAGTCATGTCATCTTTCTGAGTGCTGTTCTTACTCTTCACTTTAAGCATTATAATAAAAATTTTATTTTTATTATAATGCTATGAAAAATATTAGGGGATTATCATATAAAGACTGCCAAGCCATAACATAGCAGAACCTTTAAGATTAATGTATTCAGCCTTCATACCATACTCACTTTAAAAATCTCCAAAATCTCTAAATATTCTCAGAGAATGATCTTCAAATACTACGTTTACAATAATCGCAACATCAAACCCCACCAACACTACTGGCTCACTGGCATATTGTGTTAAGGTGGTATATATTGTTTTAATATGATACGTTGTAAATGATTTCTGCCATACCATAAGTGTAATTTGATTAAATCTGAACTGATGCCATGTGTCTGTTCAGTCTAAAGAACAAATCAAAAGTCATTTTTAAATATAACAAAAACAAAGAATATTCTTAATCATCAAATTATCTTTATAAACTATAAACACAGCACACATTTACAGTGCGTGATCGGTTAACGAACAGTTCGGACTGCAAACAAATCAGACAACGAACACTTTCGCAAAAGATTTTTATGTTCGGACAACAAACACAAGAAGTGACACCGAGTTTAAGATTTGTAAAACTATATTTTAACCGATCACCTACTGTATTTGAAATAAATACCCATACTAATTTGTACTACTTGATAATCAAAACAACACCAAATTACCTATCACACACACTGTATTGTAAAAGTTCTTTATACAGTCCTATGGTGTATATAATAAGATTCAAAACTGATTATTCATACGAGAACAAATTTTATTCAATCAATTTACTAACAAATACCAAAATCTACCAAATTCACAGCCAAAAAATTTCATATTTATTCAATGTAAGCATTTTATTTGTATTAAATTGTAAAATATTGCATTTGCTGTTTATGAATTTTATTTATTAAATGCCATATTTAGCCTATGATTAATTAAACGAACGTTGTACAAAGTATTGCAATGTATAAACTCACTTATCAGTTTACTGCAACAGGATATAAAGATATAAGCAAACAATAAATTCAAAAATAAGATTCTAAATAGTAGGATAAATTAATTTCTTTTTTACAATTTGAATATATCGAAGTATTTTTATTATAATGCGAATATACAAAGAGTAAAGAAAAACAAACTGAAAATTGCTGGAGATCTTATGACTTGGGTGGGGTCTAAAGATAAATTTCGATGAAATTAATACTTACAGGACCACGTTCCACTTCAGCTACAGACATTTTGTCTTTTTAAAACACCTTTAACACAATACTATTGTAAACTATTCAAATTTTACAACTTTTCAATGAAATCAAGTTAGGAGTTGAATCCAATGACAAAACTGATACTCTGTGAATATTGATTGGTTAGTAATCGTCACGTGATATTCATTAAAAGTGAATATTGGTATTTTTTATAATTAATTTATATTATTATTATTATTATAAAAACAACTCTATTAAAAACGTGCTCTAAAAAAAACTCTATTATAAACGTGCTTTTAAAACAATAATAATATATTACTACTTATCAAATGAATATATTCAATAATAATGTTCATAGTTATATAAGAATATATTATTTCAATCTAAATATTTTTAGTTAATAATTATATGGAAATTTATTTCTAGTTATTTAGTTTTTATATCAAATTTAAATTGAACAATATCAACATGGCGGCGGACTTAGGTAGTCACGTGGTAGCTCTCTACACGTGTTTAGATTTATATTTTGAAATTAAAATTCTGTCTAAAAGTACTAAGATAGCTTTAAGTTTATACTAAAATTTAAGAAAATAATTTTTCTATTAAATGTTCTTTTAAATTAAATGTAAGCTTTAAATTATAGTTTTATATTTAAGGTTAGATTTTAGTGTTAGTTGTAAATGAAGTTTCAATAAGAATGGAAGTGAAATAATGAATTATTGATTCGATCCAAGAAGTGACATACTATCTCTTTTTGAAATCTTATACTTAGGTATTATTATTCTTATTTGAAAATTATTTGAAATTCTTAAAAAAAGTACAATGAGTATGATTTTTTCATCAAACTGCAATTGAGCCCAATTGACCCCTCGAGTTCCATGAATTCCTTTCAAAATTTCATTGATCTCCAAAGAGTCTATATCAATCCCATTGGGAATCTCTGCTGTACTGTACATAGTAATAGGATTTACTGTGGAAAACATACAAATTTATAAAAATTAAATAATTAGCCTGTTATTTTATAGATTAAAAAAATATGTATATTTTAAAATATTTAATCAGATATTTAGTAAATAAAAATTTTTAATAGTGTATGATATATAAAAAATATTGGTTTGGAAGTATCAAATTATATTATTTACATCATTTCATTCTTTAAAATATATATATTTTTTATTCATAAGTATGAAGAGACATGGAAGATACAAAATATATATACTCTGTAGAATTTCTTATGGGATAATTATTACTTAATGTAATAAATAAAAAAAAAACTCAAGTTTGAATTTTTTCATAATTTAATCTTTGATTTGTAAAAGAAATAATATTGCATTTTTTAATTTTTTTCAAATCAGTCTTATTTCATTATAAAATATAAGGATTGCCCAATTGAAAAGTGGGCATATGTCTAAGGTAACCAGATTTTAACATTGGTTAAACGGGACAAAATTGACAGGGGGGGAGTGGTTGTCTTATTGAAAAAAATTGTTCTAAAACAACAAAATTGTATCATCATAGAATGCAAAAATTGTTTTGTATTATATATATTTTTTTTTTTAATTTCAACATATGCAAAATTTACAAACATAACAAATATATATACTATAAGGCATGATCAAAAAGTTTCCGTTTGAAGGTTGTACAGTCCAGATTTGGTATGTCAGTGATGCAAAAGTGCCGTGACCATTTAGGCAAGCATCCCACTGCTTCACCAGGTTGAATATGCCCTGTTGGTAAAACTCCTGTTTCTGCTGCTTGAAGAAGTCCGAAACTCCCTGCTGCACTTCTACATCCGACTGGAACCGTCGACCTTTTAAGGACTTCTTTAAGGAACCAAAGGTGTAAAACTCGCATGGGGAGAGATCAGGACTGTAAGGCAAGTGCTCGAGTATCTCCCACTTTAGTGCATGTGACTTCTGCGTTACGACATTTGCAGTATGGGGATGTGTGTTATCATGAAGCAGAATCACCCATTTCGCAGTTTTCCTGGATGTTTTGCCTTAATTGCACGTCGTAATCTCTCCAGCATTTTGCAGTACCATGCCCCAGTGATGGAGACACTTGGTTCCTTGAAATCAATAAGCAATGGGTCCTGGTGATCAAAGAACAGGGTAAGCATCACTTTTCCAGCAGATGACTGGCTCTTGAACTTCTTGGGATGAGGGGACGAAGGATGACACCACTGCATGGTCGTCGNTACCATGCCCCAGTGATGGAGACACTTGGTTCCTTGAAATCAATAAGCAATGGGTCCTGGTGATCAAAGAACAGGGTAAGCATCACTTTTCCAGCAGATGACTGGCTCTTGAACTTCTTGGGATGAGGGGACGAAGGATGACACCACTGCATGGTCGTCGCTTTCGACTCAGGTTCCCAGCTTTTGCTGCCAACAATAATGCGCTCAAGGAGACTGTTGCCTTCAACATTGAAATACATCAGGTGCTTCAGGGAAACAGCCATCTGGTTTGATTGTTGTTCGGAATTTAACACTCAGGGTATCCACTGGCTGCAGACCTTATGGTAGCCTGACTACTGCCAGATCATGTGTTGCATGCTACCGAAGTTTATGTCGAGATCTTTTGAAAGCACACATATGGATATGCGATGATCCGCCCTAATCACATTATCAGCTGCCTGCTTGTTGTTGTCTGTATTAGATGTGGCTGGCTTCCCAGATCGACCTGCATCTTGGGTCGAATTACGACCAGCTCTGAACTTTGTGCACCGTTCCACTACGATGATTTTCAACAGGCATGCTTTTCCATACACATTCTTCATTCTCCGATGAATGTCTACCGGTGTGTTTCCTTCGGCAGCCAAAAAAAGAACCACAACACGTTGGTCCTGTTTGGACGCATATGGTATTAACATTGCCATTGTTCACGTTTCAGCGTTTTCCAATCAATAATCCCAAGCCTCACTGTCGATGCTTATATACCCCACATCAGTGATGCAGTAATTTGCATGTATGCTGCAGCCATGTCCGTAAACGGAAACTTTTTGGTTGCCCCTTATATTATAAATCTTTAAGAACTCTTTATTCTTTCGCTCGAACTCTTTATTCTCAATATATCTCATTTGAGTGAATTTTTTTAGATTGCTATCATTATTTAAAATTACATGAAATTTTTCAAAAGAATTTGTTAAATTATGGCTTTCAAAGTCTCAACACTTAATTGTAATTTATCAGATGTCCACACTTTATTTACGGTAGAAAAAAACGCATTCAGTCACAGCATTAGTTCCTGTTAAGAACAGTGCTTATTCCACAAGTACCTAAGACAAACTATATTTTAACAATTATTTTAATCCTTTTGTATTTCTTTCTAAATAATAATAATAATACTAACCTGTATTACTTTTTCTCTGAATTTGCCTTGAATTTGTCACTTTATTATTGTAATTTTATTATTATATAATACTGTTGTAACCAAAATGAACCTCAGCCCCACTGCTAGCAATAGAACAATGCAAACCGATATACTTACTCTCGCTAGTCACTAGCTTTCTAAGGTGGCAACAGATGAGAGCTCTGCACCATGTAACATGCAACAAACAAAATGTATACTTGTTTGGACAGCCTGTGAACATGNGGTCTTTGCTGTGAACACGAAGGGTTTTGTCGGCACAGCATTCTTTATTTCCGATGCTCAGGTACACCTTGGTACTGATACATGTGATACAAAATGATCTTTACAAATCTTAAACATAAGACATAAATTTATGATACATAACTGACAAAAAATTAATCTTTCCAAAACTCTGGACTTTTTTAAAACACCACAGGATGTGGGACAAATTGTTAAAAAGTGGGACATCTGATCACCTTACACATGTCATATTTCATCATGCAAGGTAGTGATTGGTGGGCCACCTTATGTGCAGGTAAACTCAACATAGGCGAAGCATGGGCTGCATTAAGTATTGGTAGAAATAGATTTTATCTCCAGTAATTGGCAGATTAATGTTAAATAAGTTATGATGGAAGCATCCAGAATTGAACAATGGCCAGTAGTTTATTCTTTAAATGGCTGAAGGGAATAGGAATTCCAACAACTATGGATGAATGAAGCACATTCATTGTGAACATTGTTTAGGATTGAACAACAGTGAATGATTAGTGTAAGAGTTAAAGAGAAGGCCACAAGTCAATTCAGGATAAACCAAGACCAGGTCAAACACACCATAATCTCTGCTGCATCAATTGCCACTGTTGTTGACATAATCAGAAGTGACAGACAAGTTACATATTGCACTACAACTTTCGCATTTTTGAACCTCTCAAGAAAGCTTTGCAAGGGCAAAAATTCATATTAGATGAGGTGAAAGATAGAGTCGAAGAATTTGTTTACCAGCAGCCACCAGAATTCTATGCAAGGGGCATCAATCTATTTGTGAGATGCTGGAAATTTGCCAACACAAACATGGAGATTTCTTTTAGATTTGCAATGTTTGCAAGTTCTGATGTGTGTCCACTTTCCATTTGAGCAACCCTTATATATTAAAAGCAAAACAGTAATAATTTATTAATGAAGAAAACTTATGATCATCTTTGATATAATTATCTTGGAGTACTAGAATATCATAATGCAATTATATGATTGATGAAAACTAAAAAGAACTAAGAAAGAATTCATGAAATATTGCATATCTGACAATAATTCAGTAGTAATTCTTTTATTGTAAATTGCTTTCTAAACAAATAAGGAATTTCATTACCATTATATTTTTCAGGTAAAAAAATGGCTGCTTTAAAGCAAGAAAATGCAAATGTATTACTTCTGTGGAATACAAATACTCCATATTTTGCTGATTCAGTTGAATGGTGTCCACATTCTCCATACCAACACATATTTGTTTGTGGAATGTATCAGTTGGAGGTATTTTCAAACATAAAACTTTTATTTATTGTTAATCATAAAATGCAATTGTTAATATAAAGAAAATATGTTTTGATTTACTCTTTCATAATTTATTAATTCTGCAAGAGAAATTATAATCTATGTACCCATGTTTTATTAAAGTGGTTATATAGATTAGAATTACAATCCACTCTCAAATTAAAACCCATATAATAATAATACATATTATTTAAATATAACTTAACTTATAAAGAAAAATGTGTTCTATGAATATTCACTACAAGGTTAAATTTTTTTAATTTTAATAATATTTTATTTATTTACAAAATATATGCAGACAGTGCAGTGTAACATCACCCTTATAATATACAACAAAAAAATCCAGATGAAAATATTAAAATGAAATCAAATACATATAAAATAAAAATGAAAATTTAATAACAACAAATAACAAAAATGAAAAAAACTAAAGAAAACTACCTTAAATATGGAAATTTTTAGAATATATTCACCAAAATAAAAAAAGTTATATGAATGATTCATTGCATGTAATTATGATTTACAACAGTTATGCTTTTAATTGTTGATTGTTAAGCTAATTGAAAAAATTAAAAATAGAACTGACAGAAAAAACATTGAAATTTGAATATATGCTCATAATTATTAAAATACTGTATGTATAAATAAATTAATTAATTAATTGTAATTATATATATATAATTACAATTAATTTATATGTATAGTATTTTATATATACAGGATGTTTCAAAATTCTTGTTTTAAACTTTCTTAAGAAAAACTAAGATGAAAAATGTAACTTAACATTTTTATGATGTAAAATATCACTAAACATTAAACATTTTTATCTTAATTTTTCTTAAGGTATTTGTTCTATAAGTTTATAACAGGAATTTTAAAACACCATGTATATATACAGTATAAATACAGTAGAGCATCGATTATCCGACCCCCAATCAACCGTCACATCGGTTAACCGACCGCGTTCTAGTCGGTAAATTCAAATGTCCACTAGTGATGTGGCGCTACAATATTTGGCTATGTCTTGGCTACTTTAATAGTATTTTTACGTGTTTTAGCTGGCAACACTGGCTCGACCATGAAAGGGAGCCAGTATTTAAACGAGGCTTAATTTTCTAATTTTTAACGATACAATAGCAACGATTATTATTTTTAAAAATTTTTGTTAGGCTTAACGTCGATGAAAATTCAACGCAAAGTAGGTTAATATTGATATACTAATATACTAATTACATGGGATATACTAATATACTATACTAATAATGTGTTTCTTCATATTTTTCGGTTATCCATTTTTTCAGTTATCCGACCAACCCCAGTTCCCAATTGAGTCGGATAATCAATGCTCTACTGTATAATAAAATTTAGAATTATAAAGTTGTTCATTTTAAAACATATAATTTTTAAATTACAATAATTCTGTAATATAATAAATAAAATGACAATTATTTAGAACTAGTATAGAGTAGGTTTATCTAAATTTTTAAAATTTAGATAAACCTACTCTATACTGACATGTAAACTCTATGTTATATATAAATAATTTTATAAAAGAAAAATTCTGTACAAGTTGTTACTTGCATAACTAAAGGAATTGTTACTTATAGTGGCAATTTCTTCCTTTTTTGATTAATACACACAATATTATACATTTTATTTATACAGTAAAAAGAGAAATATAACAATGTAAGGTACTTTTCAGTTAACAGGATTCTAGAAGACTATTACGTTAACAATTTAGTCCATGCAGCTATGCCAGCTTTGAGTAGTCCACTTGACTGTTTGTGGAGTACTTGATATTATATAGTTTTAGGGTAGAATAGGTGGTAGACTGGTACATGTTAAAAATTGACCTTTGGAGATAAATATCATGCAAACAGTCAACAATTCTGGAAGTGGTGTGAAACTTCTCATTCACAGATTGAATCTTACCCATTGCTGTAGATACATATTGGCTGGTGTCTCATTAACCAAAAAGTACCCAATGTAAATAATGTTTACAGTTTACATTATCCATGAATAAATTACTAATCTAATAAAATAATGTTTAAATTTTTAAGCATTTTTATAATGATAATCATCATTTTCTTTTTTTTTTATTTATATGTAGGGATTATTTTATTATTTCAATAAATTTGTTCTTAAAATTGCTATCTTATTTATTATTTTTTGTTATAAGAATTGTAAGCAATAAAAAAAAAACTATTGAAAGTGTTATCTAGAATTTACATCTTACAAAATTTTTTATTATTTTATTTATATTATTTTAACTGAAAAATCTTTTCAGGCCCTATCAATTGTATTTCTCCAGGTTCACAAAACATAAGTGTATAGGTCAATTTTTTCTATAGTTTTTCATAACATAGTATTAAAATATACAGATAAACCATAAAAATTTAACTATAATGTATAAAAGCATCTAAACTTTCACTATTACAACTATTAAGTTTTTACTTATTATCCATGTTTGCATGTAAACAAATAATTAGAAGCTCATACAGGTATTTGTACTGTACTTCAAATTAATTTATACAATAAATCTTTTAGTCTTCTGGAAATAAAACTGAATATTTTATTCAAATATAGTATGTAAATGGTTAACAGCTTATATATTGTTCTATTTAATTTACACATTTTTTGATCATTAAGAATTATCTTATATAAACTGTCATAAAAAGATTATTAGTAAATGCCAAAAATTTAAACGTTAATTTTTCTTTATGGCATTATTAATTAAATATTCTTTTAACATTTTTTTCAAACATTTAATAATGCTATTATCACACAATTTTTTCTTCTATAAACTGTCATAAAAAGATTATTAGTAAATGCCAAAAATTTAAGCGTTAATTTTTCTTTATGGCATTATTAATTAAATATTCTTTTAACATTTTTTCAAACATTTAATAATGATATTATCACACAATTTTTTCTTCCTGTAGGAAAACAATACCAAAGGTGAACAGAAGCGATTAGGTGCCATACATTTATTTTCTGTTTTAGAAAAATGTATTTGTTTGCAAAAATTACAGCTATCAGGAATTTTAGACATGAAATGGTGTCCCTATAAAGTGAATGAAAAATGCTTATTAAGTGTGGCTCATGCAAATGGAACTATTGGAGTTTTTCAACTAATTCAAGATGATAAAAAAGAAAATAAAATTCAATTAGAACATATTTTATTTTCTGAAATTAATCCAGTTTTTCCGAATTTGATATTATCACTTGATTGGTATCAAGAGAAAAACATGTATGTAATGTCTATATTTACTTGCTAAGGAGATAAAAAATAATTTTTTCTTTAACTTTAATATTCATATAGATCATAATTTGAGATTTAAAAATTTATATGCATTTTTAGTTGCAATATAAAAATAATTTAAACAATTTCATCTTTATACAAAAATTTTATAAGTTAAAAATAATTTTTTATTATCATATGAAAATAATATTGTTTAATATTATTATTATTTGTTAAATATTGTTTAATTTTTATGTTTTATATATTAATTTTATTTATATTCTAAAGTATTGTTGTATTTAGTTCAAATAAATTTTTATTCTTATTCATGTATTGTCATTTGTCTATCAATTCTTGAAATTTTTTATCAAAATACTACCTTTGACAAAAGAATTGTACTAATCCAGCGATTCCCAATCCGGGGTACGTGATAGGTTGTTTAAGTGTACAGAAAAAAGTTAGTTATTATGGCAGAAAAAATAATATATTATGTATCCCAAATTAATAGTATTAAAGAATTATTAGGTAAAAAATGTTCCTTGCAACAATCACAAACTTTATTATACATTTCAAAATGCAAAAATAGAAATAAAAACTTATGCTGCCAATTGTACAATGCAACAGATCAATAAATGTTGCGCAGTTGGTCAATGGTAATGGGGATACCATTATGTGTGATTAGTGATTATGCTACGGACTTTTGATGGTGGGGTGTGTTACCTTTATTATTATTATCTCTCAACAATATCCCCACGTGTTGCTTGAAAAAAGTATTTTTTTTTTTTTGTTTATAAAAAGTATTTTTTATTGTTAGCAAGGAAAGGACATAGCTAGTTTTTCCAGATTTTCTCTACAAGCAGTAATTTTTTTCATTATTTATTCAGTATTTTTATTAATTTTTTATTGACAAGACTATGTCTTGTTTATAAAATCGTACTGCCTGATGTGTTACCAGCTTAGAGGTATGAAGGAGTACATGTCAAAAGTTGCAATTTGGCACAAAGTATTAGGTGCCGAAGTCATGCACGCATAAAAAAAAACCAGACTTTTAGGTACTCAGGGGACTGAGAACCAAGTCAAAATAAAATTCAAAATGGCGACACTCTATACAAACAGGCATTGCAAGATTTGTGCATGCGTTGCTCATTGGTAAGTTGGAAATGCCACAGGGTACGCTAATGAGAAAAGGTTGGGAACCGCTGTACTAATCAAATGAAATTATGATTTAGATGAAATTTATGATAAGATGTTTGAGGTAAAATTTTTAATTAAATATTACTTTACTTTAATTTTATCAATTATTATTATTATGTTGGGTTTTGTGAGTTATACTCGGTTCACACTGGTGGCTGTATACTATGCCGGACCAGAGTCAAGGCATATAAANTATCACAAATTAATAGTATTAAAAAATTATTAGGTAAAAAATGTTCCTTGCAACAATCACAAACTTTATTATACATTTCAAAATGCAAAAATAGAAATAAAAACTTATGCTGCCAATTGTACAATGCAACAGATCAATAAATGTTGCGCAGTTGGTCAATGGTAATGGGGATACCATTATGTGTGATTAGTGATTATGCTACAGACTTTTGATGGTGGGGTGTGTTACCTTTATTATTATTATCTCTCAACAATATCCCCACGTGTTGCTTGAAAAAAGTATTTTTTTTTTTTGTTTATAAAAAGTATTTTTTATTGTTAGCAAGGAAAGGACATAGCTAGTTTTTCCAGATTTTCTCTACAAGCAGTAATTTTTTTCATTATTTATTCAGTATTTTTATTAATTTTTTATTGACAAGACTATGTCTTGTTTATAAAATCGTACTGCCTGATGTGTTACCAGCTTAGAGGTATGAAGGAGTACATGTCAAAAGTTGCAATTTGGCACAAAGTATTAGGTGCCGAAGTCATGCACGCATAAAAAAAAACCAGACTTTTAGGTACTCAGGGGACTGAGAACCAAGTCAAAATAAAATTCAAAATGGCGACACTCTATACAAACAGGCATTGCAAGATTTGTGCATGCGTTGCTCATTGGTAAGTTGGAAATGCCACAGGGTACGCTAATGAGAAAAGGTTGGGAACCGCTGTACTAATCAAATGAAATTATGATTTAGATGAAATTTATGATAAGATGTTTGAGGTAAAATTTTTAATTAAATATTACTTTACTTTAATTTTATCAATTATTATTATTATTATTATTATTACTTAAATGTATATATAGATAAAAGATTATCTCTAATTATACCTTAGGGTAATTAAAGAAACTAAAAAGAAATTAAAGTTTAAAGAAATATCCCTTTTAGAGATTTATGCTGGAGTATTAAAAACCCTTTGATAATATCATTCTCACCAGAGTCAACAATTTTTTTAGTATGTTGACTCTGGTGAGATTGATATTATCAGAGGAACATGCTCCTGATCACTTAGATTCGTCAAAATAAATATCTTCATTCTTCTGTTCTTGTAGAAATCAGAGATAGATAAATAAAATCTTATGAATTTAACAAAAAGTGTTATAGTAACAAACTTACATATCCAGAGAAAGATTACAATGAAATTTCTCAAGAATTTTGTTTATTATTTTGTAAGAATATAGAACAGTATGAAATTTATTAAGAGCTGTAAAAAGTATTTATGATGTTAATGTTAATAGATAAGAACATAATGTTAGAGAACTTAATTTTTAAAGAACAGTTGAATATGATTTATTCTCCAGTAAGACCAGTAAAAAAACATATCCATTAAATTTTAATTTATTTAACAAAATGGAAATGATTAAGATATTAATTAATGAAAATAAACTGTAAGCAAATATTACATTCTTGTTATTTTTTTCTGTTTTATTACATAATATTTTTAATAGTTACTAATTTGCTACTACAGTAGACCTCCCTATAACACTGTTGATAATTCCATGTTATATGAATTCCATGTTGTACGAGTCACTTAGATTTTACAAATACGTGAACCGTTCACAGCCTGGCACACGTATTTGTAAAATCTAAGTGACTCGTACAACATGGAATTCATATAAAACGGAATTAT